ATGTTTATATTCCTCAAATTTAACTTGAAAAGTTTTTATTTAATCAAAATGTAAGTAAAACAATGAAATGTAAAAATAAATAATAGCACATATCATGCAGTGTTAAGTTCATTTAAGCAATTAATAAAAATATTTTAATCCTAATAATTATAAATGTTTTTATATCTCCTTTACTCTGAACATTATTTATGTTTGCAGTTGGTTCAGTTTTCATTTACAAAAACCAAATTACTTTTTAAGTTTTGAAAACACTTTGCTGTTTTTTGCTACAAAACGTAAAATAGCAAGTGCTTTTCTTCTACTTAAAATTCATTTTATACATTTGTAAACATTTGATACCTTAAGAACAGAAGTCACCTTTTTCAAAATGGGAAAGTTATTTCTTTAAAACAACTAAACATGGTTTCAAATTTTAATTCAATTACTTTACTGAAATAAAGCCATAAAAACAAACTAACAAAACATTTTAATTTTAAAAGCTCTCAAAACATTACATTGCTGCAGTAAAAAAACACACTCAAAAACTTCTTATATTTTGCAACGAACTCGGAAATGTTTCTTTCGAAAAGGAATAAAAAAAAAAGTATATCTGTCCCCAGAGATTCTGATCAGTGAGTAGAATTTCAAGTATAGAATTGGCTTCTCTTTTTCCGCCAAAAATACGATAAAAATACAGTTATATTGACAGGAATGGGAATAAAAAAATCATTTTATCTGTTTCAGGGTGCATAAAAACTTACAAAAAATGGTCTGAACTATGCACACGTATTGAGAAATCGTTAAGTAGTGTGGTGTTGCTAAAGATATTTAGAAAGAAATATGTTCTACTTGTGCCATATTTGGCGGGATTAGAGACACATTCCTCTAGGGAGGGCTTTGTAGGAACTATTTGCTGTCCCTAATCTCCCATGGGTATGCAGGGGTGATAAGTTTTGGTTTTATTATGCAGTTTTAAAACCAAAATCTACCCGCGGCAGTAGTAATTCCACCCATTTCGAATGGAATTATGGGAGGGAACGTCTTTAAATAACACGAATCCGAAATATTATTGTTACGATGATTAACTTATTTTTACACCGATTGTAAAGAAGTAGTTCGAAAAAGAAATTTATGGCGAAAGAATTGTTCTGAGCGTGTCAAATCGTAAATTTAAAAGCAAGATTTATCATTTTAATAAATAAAAAAGTTAATATATATCTTAATTTTACGGTGTGACATTAAGACACATTGAAAATATTTTTTCTAAAAAATGCCAAATGTTGTTTAATAATGTTCTATTTTCAAGGCGTCTCAACTATATTCTCAAGGCGTCTCAACGTAGTGTAAGACATTTAATTTTGAAACCGATAGAATTATTACAAAGTATTTATTGAAATCAAATTATTTTAAAAAATATTGCATATTATTTCATCCAAAATAAGTGGAGATAGTTTTGCCCTAAGATAATGTAGAAGCAACAATAAGAAAATATGCAGGGAAGACGGCCGTTTCGGTACTATAAACACTATCATCAATGATAAGACACAAAACTCTGTGTCTCATTTTATGTATTTTTTTAAAATTTAAGCAGAGATGAGGCTACTTTATCGTATCAAAATAACCGTATGTTTCTCATAGATGATTTTTGTGATCTTTTGTTGTCTTTACTTTGTTTTTAGAAAATTTTAACATTCTTATATTGGATAAATTATTCTATATATTATATATCAAAAATATTATATATTGAAAATATTATATATCAAAAATATTATATATTAGATACATTATATAAGTTCAAAAAAAATTTAATTTAGGAAAATGCCTCATAATAATTGTGTTATAATATAATTGTGACACTCTTAACATGTAATTTGATAATCTCATATCTCATTTACTAAATGCAACATAATTACTTCCTAAAGCTAAAAACAACGTGAATTAAAACTCTCTGTGACGTTTAGAAGGTTCTTATTCATAGAGCTGAAACTATAGTATGTTCATTTATGTACTTTCATTTGTGCTTTATTCCTCTTTATTTATTTTTTTCAACTTTAGTCTACGTAGCACAGAATGTACCCTACCTTTTTGTTGAATAATAACTTTCATTTTGAAATCTTTTTCTTAAAAGCAGTAGTAAAACAGTATTAAAAACTTATAATATTTTATGCCTAATAATACTTGCGTAACTATTTAATTGCAACACTTTGAAAATGTAATTCTATAATTTTATCTAATCCTCTTATTATAATGTAAAAATTATATTTTCAAATTATTCTTTCAAAATTTGCAAAACATTTTAGAAAATTCTGGATTAGTTTTAGGAAAAAAATATTGGCATCGAGGGTGCATCACCCGTAAAAACCATTTTACTGTAAAATTTCAGATTAAATGACAGTTATTTAATTACAGCGATTCAGTGATTTTATTGTAAAAACTACTATAAAAATTACTGTATATCAGATTTTTTGTCCCGTAACATGTTCTGGTACAATTCTGATCATGAATTTTACTTTCTGGTAATGGATTTTAGTAATGATAAAATTATAGCTTTGGATTTCACTGCACAAAGTGCCGGCACCCAATGTGCCTGTACTTTTTATTACCGTCAAATCCATTTTACCGGAACATGCTATGAAAGAAAAAACTCTGATATATCGTAATTTCATTCATAATTACAGTAATATCGATGAATCAGCCTAATTAAATAAATATAGCTGTTAAAATTACGGTAAATTATCTTACGGTAAAAATGGATTTTGTGATTGATCACCCAAAGTGCTGATACTTTGTACCGTAATTTGATCCGAGAATTTTTACAGTGTAGTAAGACAAACTAAATTCTGAAATGGAAATAATGTTTTTGAGTCTTACCATTTGAGCTTGATTTTTCGGTTTTCTTACGACTCCGGGAACTTTCGTGCCAACTGCAAATAAAGAAAAAAAAAAAACATTCATTCGTTTGAGTAGTAGAACGTGATGAAAATAAAAATTACATAAATATTTAATGAATCGTGCCATTTTTATGGACTATTAATACAGCCATGACTGATGATTATAGATAACTGGCGATTGAAAATAATCACCATGATTGTTAAAGATGGTAAGTTACAGACAATTCATTAAAGACACTTTTACGTAAAAATGATCATGCTCTCGACATATTAATAGAGTTTATTTTTTTTTGAGGAAAAAAACGTACAACCGAGAATAATTTAAATCAAAACAGTTTTCGGATTAAAATTTTAATTTAATAATATTTAAAATTTTTGTTTAATGACAATAAAGAACAATAAAAGTTAAAATTGGATAAAAATGGAAAAATGAACAACTGTATGAAAGTTTTTAAAAGCCACAATTATTTGTGGAAAACTGTTATTGTTTATTTTTTGACATGAAGCTTTTACATTATGCAATGTTATGTCATGAAACTGTTCTGAATACCTGAAATTTGCTTTAAAAAAGCAATATATTATTATATTTTTCATATGTATAACTATATAACTACGTTTATTATTAAATTCATTAATGGTTAAATTTAAACCTGTCAGCAGAAATTAGACACGTGTATCCTATTAACATGCATAACTAATTCTTTTAATAATTTTATATGGAATTTTAAAACTTCTAACGTAGGGAAAGTATAATGTAGAAAGTCAGAAATACTATTCAATCAGAAAACCAAAAATAAAAAAAAAATTAAATAAATAAAATATAAGATATGTGTACTAGCAAGACATCACTTCTTGAGGGGACATACTGCTTGCCAACACACAGAAGCCTTTCTGCTGTCAGTGGTAATAGCAAAACCTGACAGTGCCCCGAGGCCCCATAATGGATATACAAATAAGAAAAAGCGATTCGAAAAATTGAAATGTAAATGTAAAGAAAAATTAATGTCAAACACAATTTAAAAGTATATAGAGTATTTTTTGTTCCTGAAGCATATAGATGGCAGTACTTTTTAAAAAATTTTCTCATTGAATGTTTTTTTGTTTTATTTTTCAAGATTTTCAAAATTGCTCAGCTCTTGATTTATTTCTAAAGTTTCTTAATGATTTGGCAATTTATATTTTATTTTGATTTGGTTATTCTAACTGTAACTTTATCTTTAATTATTCTTCTTATATGTGGGCGTATCATTTAAGTCTTACTCTAAGTCTGATTGTTTTGCGGACTGTCTATGTACAGTCCGCAAAAAAAAAAAGATATCACCCTGAATAACTTTCGTTCTAATGATCGGATTTTCACGAACTAAAAGTCAATCTTAATGGTTCCTGGGGGTGACCTCAACTATGCTAATTAATTAGTGCTAACTATTAATTAAGTTACGAAATCAAACACAAAAACGTAATTTCTCTGAATAAACATACCATTTTTTTCAGCGGATTTGGGTACTTTACTAAACAAAACTCCTGTTCTATTTCTAAAATAGAGGGGGTAGTCGCAATCTGAGAAAAATGGTTATATAGAGGAGAGTGGTCAAGAGAGCGGTCGAAAATTTAAACCACTTAATACTAATTTCACTTTCGCGTGTTCTTGAGAACCTTTTAAGCGAATTGAAAACTTTGTGTGCAAGAAGAATATAAAATGCGTTTATCCAAAGATAATTCAAGGCAAAAAATATTTTTTAAGAATCATTTAATATTTTTATTGTTTTATTTAAAAATTGTAGATAGAATTTGGAAGTGTTAAGCTTACAAATTTTTACATTATTTTCAAGAGTGGTACTGCANGAATGATTGTTTTGAATTCTTAGAATTTTGTGCATTTGCAATGTACCTAAGTTAGTAGCGAACGAAGCAAACCATATAAGATTGTGTAGCAATTTTCGGGGGTTGGCGAGCGTTAGCGATCAGGGGGTGCAGCCCACTAGTTACGGTATAATATCTTACGGTAAAAATGGATTTTACGGTTGATCACCCAAAGTGCTGATACTTTATACCGTAATTGGATCGGAAAATTTTTACAGTGTAATAAAACAAACTAAATTCTGAAATGGAAATAATGTTTTTGAGTCTTACCATTTGAGCTTGATTTTTCGGTTTTCTTACGACGCCGGGAACTTTCGTGCCAACTGCAAATAAAGAGAAAAAAACATTCATTCGTTTGAGTTGTAGAACGTGATAAAAATAAAAATTACATAAATATTTAATGAATCATGCCATTTTTATGGACTATTAATACAGTCATGACTGATGATTGTACATAATTGGCGATTGAAAATAATCACCATGATTGTTAAAGATGGTAAGTTACAGACAATTTAAAGACGCTTTTACGTAAAAATGATCATATTCTCGACACATTAATAGAAAATTCTCGACACATTAATAGAAAATTCTCGACACATTAATAAAAAAGAAACGTGTAACCGAGAATAATTTAAATCAAAACAGTTTTCGGATTAAAATTTTAATTTAATAATATTTAAATTTTTTGTTTAATGACAATAAAGCACAATAAAAGTTAAAAGTGGATAAAAATGGAAAAATGAACAACTGTATGAAAGTTTCTGAAAGCTACAATTATTTGTGGAAAAACCATGCTAGTTGTAAATGATTAAAAAAAAAACGTATAATTTTGTATTCATGGTCTTATAACCATACTAGTTATAAATGATTTCAAAACCGTAAGGGTAAAAAATGTTCTTTACCGTAAACTTCACGATTAATCGGATGGGCAGAGTGCTTGCTGCAGCCTATTTTACCATCATTTAAGAATAAAAATTCGTACAGTGTGGAGCAGAAATAATAATAAAATATAGTTACTACTAAACGATGTTTTTAATCACGTATTGTATTGAAATAATGAAGCGATTAATACCAAATTAAAACTTATTTATAAATTCAATTAAACACATAAACATCCCTTCCACACAAAAATTTGTAATATTTTGAATTATTCTAATACTTTTATTAACGTAAAACTATTATAATGCAAGAAACTTAACAAACTCATAATTTTTATTTTCAACTTCTCCTTTTGAGTTAGACATCGGTCAAAGGGAAAATAGAAACCTAAAGTTGTTTATATATTTTTAATATTGATACAATATCTATAAAAGCGTTATGTGGGTCACGGCGGTCATTAAGGATAGCAAAGCTATAAGTTTTGAGTAAATATTTTCATTCGATAAATACTGAAAGCTCTCGTATTTTTAATTTATAAAGAGAGAAAGTCTGTTTTCGGAATCCATCTGAGTCAACTGACATTTCCTAAGTAGACACAGAAAGTGCCTTAATATATTTACTCAGTCAGCTCTTTAATTTAATTTCCTCTAAGTTGCGTTTCCTAGGAAAAGTTATTGATACAGGAACCTACAGAATAATCAGTATTCAACTTCTGAACGGTGATAAACGTATTTATTGAAAAATAAAACGCTATATTAGCTCATATTAAGGCTATTGATAAAATTTGTTTTTCTTTAATTTAAGAGTTTTAAGATAATTATGCTGATTGACTGCTACATTTTTTTAAAAAAAAAATTTCTTACTCGTTTAAAGGGAAGTCATAAATTGCTGACCCATTTATTAAGGTATTTCTAAAGAACATGTACGTACTAAAAATTTTTTTCAGGAATTTTTAACAGAAAATATTAATTGAAATAGTTCAAAAACAAATTTATGTATCATGACTCTTTTCGACTACTAAACACCGAATAAAGTATATTAAAATTTTAAAAAATGAATACTATTTTTTCTACTTTTTAAACATTTTAGAATACTTTAAATTATACAAAAATTAAAATTTCTGCACCATGACGTTTTTAAGTCTTGCGAATCATTACTTAACTATTGTTTTTAGTAAGCTATTGCAATTATTAGCTTTATTTTTTCAGATTTTAAATTTTAAAGATAATATTATTATTGAGCATGTTATTATGTTACTATTGAACATTACTATTAAACCTGTCTACAGTGCTCGAAAAAAAAATGACCACTCTAAATACTTCACAATTCAAAATATTTCGACTATTATTTAATAAAATGATAGAAAACAATAAATTTTTAAAAAAATTAATTTTGCGCGTGGAATGATATTTGTGCGAACTTTATAATTGCGTAAACATTTTTTAAATTCTCTTAAGAAGTTGAGATATGACGAAATATGCAAAACTAATATTAACATTAAGGGTTCCAAAGTTAGGACCATTCTCCTATTCAAACTAAGGGGACCATATCACACCGATTGCGGCTGGTTACTATATATTGGGAGTCAGAAGTCCAAATCCGTTTAAAAAAAGGTATGTTTATGCAGAGGAAGTACGTTTTTGTGCCTGATTTCGTAACCGGTGTTACTAATTAATATAAGCATATTTGAGGTTACCCCCTCGAATCATGTCCGTTATTTTTTGGCGCACCGTACATTACTGGTTAAATTTTAATAATGATTTATTTCTTCCTATTAATTATAAATTTGCATCGGAATTTTTAAGAAACAGTATTTGTAAAATGCATCAATTATTTCTAGAGGGTAAATTTACATGTTAAGAGAACATATGCAATATTTTAATCGAACCAGAATCTTAGTACCAGATCCTTATAAAAGTGGATGTAACATAAAATATGTAGACAAAATTTTCAGTTGTGCAGGTAATGTACTGATTTATGCCTGTTGCACATAATTGCGTCCAGGAAGATAAATATAAATAATAAAAGAAAGGGAATTTCCTTTGCACCAACTTTCATTACAAATGTAAAATAAAGACTATTAAAATAAAAAGAAATGGCATTATTGAGAAAATCAAATCAAGGGCTTAATTTGGAGCTCTTACCATCACTCAAAATTAGATTTACGAAAACCGGCCCAAAATTAGATACACTTATCAAAGAAATATGTCAAAATTACTAGAGTATATTAAACTGTACCATGGCTCTGGCTCTATGTGAACGCCAGAAAGGTCTATAATAAGAGCTTTGGTAATGATTTCGGTAAAAGTAACAAATAAAATATGGTTTTATAATGTGTGGTAAAATTTAGTAATTTTATAATGATGCGTTAGAGCATGACATAGAAAAACTTTCGCTTAATGTTACTTTTCGGTTTTGTGTTTTTCTAAGTGCGCTGTAATAAGAACTGTAATTATGAAAATCAGAAGTTCCGGTAAACCGTTACCATATGAGCGGAAAAATTACCGAATAAATGATTTAAATAATGCATATTTTGATTTTATTAATCAGAATTATGTTTTTTCTTCTTACCCGAAATGTCATTACCATACCATATGGTAATTTTACCAGAATTCTTTTCTCTGTGTAGAATATAATAAGGTCTTTTGAGCAATTGTAGTTAACGTGTGACGTATAGGTCCATAAATAATAAGAAAATCAAATAAGGGATAAGATAGGATTAAATTGTTATACATAGATAGCCTTAGAATTAAACTAATTCTAAACAGCATTTGTTTCGTGGTCTACTGATTGATCTCAGCTCAGTTTTGGGAGGAAGCACTCCAGAAAACTGAAATGAAACTCCGCAATTGAAGTTTCTCTTTTGCTGAATACAAAGTTCAATACTGTTGAACAATGCTCTCAAATAACATTTTACTTATGTTCTAGAATAGTTTCCTTTCATGATGAAGGTAAATAACCTTTAGGTTACCACTGAACACGCAATGTCAAATAACAGGGGATCCTACCAAATACTAAAAGGATCAAATAACAGAGAAATGTTAATGAAATTTACATAAAATTTTTTTTTGCCGAATATCGTTAAATAATAAGAAAAAAACCATATTATTACCAAACCAATTATTGTTATATTATAACAATTAGTCTTGCCTTATACTTTTTAAAAATACAGTGTTTCACTCTCACTCTGAGATAATAAAATACCTCAATAAAACGTTATGTTTATATTATGCGTTATATTTGCAGGGTGTCCCAGAATTATTGTACCAAGCTTTAAGGGTAGGTAAGGGACATCACAGGGATTCAAATTTGCTTAGCAACCCATTGTCGGAAACGTCTTCGTGCGCCGCTAGGTGTTGTTGTTCACAAGATGGATTGGACGTGGTGGACCGGTTCCCTGGCCCATAGCCTGGCCGCTACGTTCACCTCATTCAAGCAGCATGGATTTCTTTCCTTAGGGTGTACAGAAAAGTGTTGTGTTCGCGACGCATGTGGATTCCGAGCTGGATGTGGTCGCAAGAATCGTCCGAGCTGCTGCGGATATCCAACAAAATTCAGGCGTATATGAGCTAGTCCGCCAATCCATAGCCGACAGTGTAACGCATGTAATGGTGGCATTCTTTAGTTACATTTTCACATATCATTTATTTCAGCACGTGTAATATCCTTGACTATTAAATATTCCAGATGATCTCAGTCTCGTACTTATCTCTTTGTTTCCTGTACCTGTCATAATACTTTCCCACAGCGTTTCCGATCATCAGTTGCTGTGTAATTCTGTAATCTTAGTGATGTCTCCTACCTCCGATTCAAGATTGTCCCAATAATTCTGAGACACCCTGAGCATACTAAATTGAATTTGACTAAACTGAACCTGTCATATTACTTTCCCACAGCATTTCCGATCGTGAGTTGCTGTGTAATTCTGTAATCCTAGTGATGCTCCCTACCTACCATTCAAGATTGTCCCAATAATTCTGGGACACCTTGAGCATACCAAACTGAATTTGAATTTATTTGCTAAATTAGTTAATTAAAAACAATATTTAAAAGGTAAATTTATCTCGATACAAATTTACAACAATATAATCTTTTTTTCTTTAAAAAAAAATCCTACTGATCACTTTAATTTTTTCTTTTCCAAAATGTATTAATGTTCAGAGTTTTCAATAAAAAAAGGCCCCTTGCTGTGACAAAATTAATTCCTTCACTTCTTCTTTTTAAAACGGTGTCAAAATTCAATTCAAACTTAAAAGAAATTGATTAAAGCGTCTGTTCACTCTTCTATCAATCTTCCACCCCATATATTTATTCAAACAAAATAAAACACGTTGACACGAACCGTCACGAAAATTCATGGAGGGCAAAAATGAGCTCCCCCTGCTGAGAAATCACAAAATTCCCGTTCAAATACAACTCTGGGGTCGCGGGGACCCTCTTTTGT